AACCCGGCTCAAATCTGTAGCTATCGTTTGGAAAATGGTTGAGATTAAAAAAGAGGTAAACCTTGGCATGTTGGCACCTCGTTTTAAGATGTAAAAAATAACATCTGATATTGTTGGAAAATTGTCAAAATATGAATTGCAAAGTTTAGTTATAATCGATGGGTCTACAATAATGAACATACGGTTAAAGTTATTAAATTTAAGAAATATTTTTTTATGCTATGTTCTATGCTTATTTTAACAAGGGTAGGCATTATATTTGTCAATATCTTTAAACCTAGCGTTAGCGTTTTTTCTATAAGAAGTTAATACATGAATTGGCAGTATGTTCATTTTTGTAAATTTTTCCTTGCTGAAAATTTTAGCTGTTCAAGTTTCTCTTTATATATTACTTTTCTCAAGATAAACACAAAAAATGGGAAAAAATCGGACATTGATAGGGTAATGGCTCATATAAGGGACCGGTCATTTGTAACCCCAAAAAGAGGGAATAGGCAGAAATAAAGGGGGCCTTAAATTTTATTATTCTTGGAATGGAAAGGTGGTTTTCAATTTTTTATAGTTATAGATTTGCCGCCGTATAATGTTTTGGCAATGTTATGGCGATGTCTTCGTCATCCGTAGACATCAATTTTTACGCGTCGTTCCGCTCGCCTCAATTGTTAAAACCTAAATCCTTAGTTTCAACAATTACTTCTAGCAGAATATTTTTGATCTGAAGCTAATATTGAATAGAGGTGTGGTAAATATCAATGAGACCATAACCGGCATATCCAAATTAAGTTCCCTGAAGTCACAAACAACTTCCACACTTGAAGTTCTAGATCCACAACTGACGCAATATTTTAAACTTATAATGCAATAGAAACTTAATGCGTTTTTTTGTTTGTTATTACGAACAACAGTATTGAAAATGTGTGTGTGTGTGTATGTGTTTGTGTGTGATTTTTCGGTGGGGGCTTTTTTTTGGGGGGAGGGGGGGGGGGGAAGGGGGTTGAAATGTTTATGTCTTTGGAAAGGGGTATCTTGATTGTTTTTCCTTTTTCAAGGTGTAGACTTGAAAATAACAGAAATTCCTACGTCCCCATCCCCAATGAAAAAAAATTACCATAATTATAATTCATTTGTTTTTAAATCTGTTCTTATCTATACCTTTTTGCAAGGAAAGGATTCTATATAGATAAGTTATCAAGATACTAGGCAATAAAACAACAAAACTCTTAATGGCCCAAATCGCCCAAATGGAACCTTTACTGTAGAGTATATTCAGACACATTGCACTATTTGTGTTTTTTTTTTTTTAAATCTATTGTAGTTTCCAGGATAAACGCAAAATATTAAAAGCCACTGCCGTAAATCTTCACTTAAAAAAATTTAAAACACAACTCTCTATTTGTTAGAGACCAACAGGTCTCAGTAAACAATAAATAAATGCAGTTTTTTTTATGTTCATGTAAACACCAATCTGATTAAATTACAGATATTGTGTGTTCAGGCTTTGCTTACGTGGATCTAAAAACGCTTCATTCTATTTTCTGTTTTAAAGATCATTGGGATTCTCTGTTTTTATCGGATTGATCAACACCTTCAAAAATATGAAGGCTGAAATTTCATTGGCTGATGTAATATTTACCAGAACTTTATGTAAAATGAAGGGTTGTCAGATCCATGTAACCAAAACTTAGAAAGATGATCTGTACATTGTATCTTAATCAGATTGGTAAGGCAACAACTCTTCATCTAGTGTGGGCACAAATTTTTCGACTTTAATAAAAAATACACTTTTTTTTTCAATAACATGGTTATTTTTTTTTTATTTCATTATTGTTTTATTTTTTCCTTCATTTTAAATGGAAACAAACTATTTCTCTTCCCTTCTGAAATAGATAAAATCTCTTTCAAGAAATTTGGAATCAAACATTTACAAAAAATCAGTGGTAGGTACCTAGTTCCCCATAAACCATATAATTTGGTGTTGAGAATTTCAGATTTTAAAGTAATTTACAGAATTTTAAATGTATCTTTTCTAACATATCATTATTACTAAAACCCCAAACTTCGCACCCATACAACAGAATTTTTTTGTCAAAAAGATCAAGTTGACATTTTACAGAAAGTGATACATCCTTCCCATTTTCAGGACTTCGTTTATGGCTTTTAAGGCCTTATCCGATATATGTTTTTTTCATATTAAAATTCCCTGTTTTAGTAAAAACTATTCCCTAATAGTTATACTGCTTTGCTATCTCAATGTCAAGTCTCATTGTAAGAAAAATGAGTTGAGTCTGCAGGTCCTGTGCTGTTTCGACCAACAATACCGTGTCATCTGCGTACAATATAATAAAAAAAACCTAAGATATATTTCTAATTCTATTTCCAGATCTTCTGCTATAGTTTTAAGTCCTGTAATAATTTTCTAAGTCATTCAAAAATAAAGAAAATAGGAAAGAATTATTCCGAATTGCAATTATCATATGATATACTAAATTTAATATCACTGTACATATTGAATATTACATTATACATCTTACCATTTATATTATTCAATAACATTTCATAAAACAAACCATATCGTCATATTATGCATGCGTAGATAATTTTATAGATATTGTTATGAAATTTGTTTAAAACTGACTGTGAGTTAATTGGTGTTTTTTGCAATGAATAGAAATAAGAAGATGAGGTATGAGTGCCAATGAGACAACTCTCCATCCAAGTCACAATTTGTTAAAGCTGTGAATTTCTTCAACTAGCTCCTGTATTAATTGATCTTTATCTTCCTCCGAAATGTTTGAAACGTTGATTTTTGTAAAATTGCATTGTCTCATTTATCCAATCAATTGCACTTTTGCTAGCGATAGATACAGATTGGAGCCGGGTTTATAATTACTCCACAGAAGCAGATCGGAATCAGTTATGACGTAGACAGTAATCATTCTAATCATAAGCATGTTCATTGACCATAACGACGATGAAAGCACATCATATAATGATGTTTCGACATCATATAATGAAGTAAACCGAACCACATCATAAAAAGGTAAACGTACATCATATAATGAAAATGGGCATAACAAGACAGTTTTGGCATTCCATAATATATAGACACCGTAAGATGGTACCAAAGGAACATCACAGTCCAAAAAAAGAAAATTAACTATAGGGAACGAAAAATTTACCCCTTTGTAGTAAATTTTGTGTAGAGTTTCCCGTGTAAAACTGAAATTTTCAAATCTAAGTAAGGACAGTAATTACCATTTATATTTGATTTATTTAAAGTAAGTTCCTTTTGTGACATTTTGGCAGTATTAATAGGAAATTCTGTACTTTTTAACGAAAATATATCATCAAGATGGCGGTAAGTGTTGTTCAATTTATCAATGCAAAGGAATTCAGACGGGTTTGGTCATAAACGGTGATTCATAACAGTACAAAAAAAATCTGATATTAAAGGAGCTCAAACGTTTATATACAACCTGTCGATAAACTTTAATGCCGAAACGTAAATAAATATTATCAAGAGAAAATTACCAGCTGCAATCATCTCATCCCACCAGCAGTAAGTATGCCTAGCATGAATAACTTTCTCATTAGAGAAAAAGGATTTAAATGAGTTTCAGAAAATATATTTGCAAACCGATTAATCAAACGATCATTTGATTAGATAGGAAAACTTTTGTTTGATACTATTGTGTGGAAGTGTAGTATCTTGATGAAATGATATTTCAACAAACATTTAGCAAGGTTATAATAGAACACCACTACTTGCCGACATGATTTTGTATTCATATGAATCAGAATTTATACAAAACCTTCACGAGGATAAACGGAAAAGCACCTTGCCAGGTTGTGTATTTCCGTTTTCAGAGACATGTGTATAGTAATGATCTTCTGTCGTTCAATAACCTACATAATTAGTGAGTGAAACTAGAATTTCTGCTGTGTATCATCATCTTCTTAGTAATATGGACGACTTCAAACAAGAATCTACGACAAACGAAAAGACATCAGCTTTTCAACTGACGACTTACCATGGCGTTGTCGATTTCTCTTCTGACATTTTGAATGTCCTTTAGAAACAATCTCCTCCTTTTCCCATTTCGAAGCAGTACCATATCCTCTGCCCCATCGTTTGGCATTTACATATCTCAATTAATACGTTATGTCAATGCATATTCACAATATATAGACATCATAAGCAGGCGTGTGCTCTTGATACAGAATTTCTACAACAAATCTATGTGGAAGAACGACTAGATTCGACACAACAAACGTTTAACAGTCACCAACACGAGTTGGAATTGGTTGAATAACTCGATTATTCTATGTCTCTACTCACTAGCGAACTGTTTTGCAGTTTTAATATAACAGACCAATTGTATCTGAAAATTCACCGGTTGTGTCCTATTCCCTATTGTGACATTTAAACGAGTGTAGATTTGCATGTCGGTTGATTCATGTATAGCAAGAGATGCTTTCCCATTTCGAGATAGAATCTTTCCTTCTTTTTTAGTTCAAGAGATTCTCTCACATTTTGCATTCTATCTTAATTTGTCTGCTCATAATTCAATTATTATATTTGAACATCGATAAGTTGTTGTTGCTTCTAATTCAAAACTGTAAAAATAATTTTGTAGACTGAAGTCATAGACTAAAAAAAAAAGTGTATATTGCACACATGAATTAATGTTGTGAAGCGATTTAAAGTATCAAAAAAAAAATATTATTTATTGTGTGAACCTTGGTAATTCTAACTCAACTAAAATTCGTTTGATTCATTATTTGTGAGTGGGTTTTTTCGTAAGAATCCTTCACTGACAATTTGCCGGCAAATTATGTTAGATATTTCTATACTCTCAACAACAAAAAATGACACAAAAAAGCGCAAACAAAATTAAACAAACTTACCAAAATGGTTTTTTTTTCAATAATTTTTTATATATATTACATTACAATTTACATTAAAATCACAGAAAACCATTTGGAATAACTTTTGACTAAAGACTTCATATTTTTATTTTCAAATGAATTACATGCTTGTCTTCAATAATCAACAGAATAATTGCAGCAACTAATGTTTTGTTTTGCAAGGTCTTCGCCTTGAGTGTTAAGAAATAAATAAAAATGAAAACAAAAAATCATTTGAAAATTCAATTTGTAGGAGTGCAAACCCCCTGTGTTATAATATGTGTATGTAGATTTTTAGAAATGTAATTAAAAATTAAAAACAATCATATGGTGTTTATGGCAGACTTTTGATAGTTTCTGTTTATTTCATATATTTTATGTACTCGCGATCGGGAAGATTTCTAGCCTGACATATTATATAGACACTGTCTATTGTGCAAGATGTTGGTTTTCCAATGTATTCTTTCTCGTAGACTAGATGTCTCATTGACGTATACCAATGTCTTCTTCTAATCAGATATTAGCATTATTAACGGAAACATATCAAACAGAGCTAAAACAATTACAAGAAAAAATAAAAATAGCTGTCTGATCCGCATTTCCACAAATAAACAAATGCAGGCATACCTTAAACATGCTAAATATTTGTAAGAAAATAACAATAAAAAACGTTTTCGGAAGGTTTTCGACGTAGTTTGTTCTATTATGTTTCACTCTTATTACAGTCATCATAATAATGTTCTTTTCTATCAGTTACATTTAGTGTTTCGTATCTTCGAATACACTTCATATTTATTTCACTGTTGTTACTTGAAATAGAGGACTCTTCTACGGGTATTTCTGGTTCGTCGATATTTGATTCGTAATTTTCGTTTGTAATAGCATTTTCAAAATCAATATATGTTCTACATGGGACGACGTAAGATTCATCTGTTGATGATCTTGATGAATTCCTGTGACTATATATTAGCTGATCGACTTTACCAGTAGTTATAAGTTGATTTGAACTGTTATTTGAATCGGATTCATTGTTTTTAAAATTTGCATTGCTGATTGATGGTTGACAATTCCCAAATTGTGCATTGCTGCTAGTACTTTGCTGAGAGATGGTAACATTAATTGGATTATAATATATGCTATTAATTTCATCATAATGAGCTCTAACGGATGGTTCTTCATTCCTTTGTGATGGAGTAACCCTGCTTTAACAAAAATATGAATTTCAACGCTTAAAAAATATGCTATATATTTAAGTAAAATAATTCTCTTAATAATGATAATACTATTAAATTCGCACAATATTTAATATTTCATTTATATTTTTCAAGTGTTCGTGTTTTCTTTGTGCAAAAGCATCGAAAGATTAGGATATCCTTATGATTCAATAACTGGTTTAAATAGGTTTGACAACGATTTATTATGCTCAACGAACAATTATCGGAAATTTAGAAATCGGTATGTATGTCCTTCATTGTGTCCGAAACATTGGTTTTCCGTATGGTAACTTGACTATCTATTGCCAAGTCAGGAATATGACAGTTGTTATCCATTCGTTTGATGTCTTTGAGCTTTTGATTTTGCCATTTGCTTAGGGACTTTCCGTTTAGAATTTTCCTCGGAGTTTGGTATTTTTGTTATTTTGATTTTTGCTTGATTTTGATAAAACTTATAGATGTATAAGATATATAGAAGGGACAGAAACCATTTGATTTTGAAATCAATAGGTAGAAGATCATGGTCACTGCTACAAAAAACATTATTTTTAGATTGTGACTTGAGTTTCCCTTGGATGATCGTAACGAAACTTATACCCTGCCACGTCCGGTCTGTGTTTTTGTTTGAAGTTTTTTCTGCTATGTATCGATCTGATGAGTTTAGCCTTTTTCAACTGATTTTATAGTTTGTTCTTATTGTGCTATTACACCACTGTCCCAGGTTAGTGGGAGGGTTGAGTGCTCACAAACATGTTTAACCAACCACATTCGTTATGTGCCTGTCCCAAGTTAGGAGCCTGTAGTTCAGTGGTTGTCGTTGGTTCATGTCTGTCGTATTTTTTTTTTCGTAAATTGTTTTGTTATAAATTAGGCCGTAAGTTTTCTCGAATGGAATTTTTTCATATTTTTCATGTCTGGGCCTTTTATAGCCGACTATACGGTATGGATTTTCTCATTGTTGAAGCCCGTACGGTTGTCTATAATTGCTTACATCCACTTTATCTGAACTGTTGTGAACAGTTGTCTCTTGGCAATCATACCACATCTCCTTATTTTTATACTATACAGTAAGAACAGATAAAAAAGGGAAACGAGCTTATTTATATTGGGCTCCATAAGTCAAGGTCACTGTAACTAATTAAAAACATTTTTTGGATTTGTTTCCATATGGTAACTTGAATTTCCCTAGCATGATTGGAATGAAACATTAGCAGATGGAAGATATAGGCAAGGGGAAAACCCTAAAGATTTTGAGGACATTGTTACTTAAATTACAAAAAGTAAGTGTTTTCCGGATTGTATTTGCGCTTCTCTTGCTTGATTGGAATAATACTTCCATAGATGAAAGATATAGAATAGAGATGGAGTCTATTGATACTGAGGTCAATAATTTTAAAAGTCAAGGTCACGTTTATTAACAATATTTTTTTTTTTTGGGGGGGGATGATTTCCAGAAAGAACTTCAGTGTGTCCCTTCCTTGATTGCAATGAAACTTCTACAGATGAAAGATAAAGGAAGGAGATGAAACAACTTGATTTGAAAACAAGTTACATTGACAAATATATATATATATTTATCATGAATTTGTGTTATGAATGCGTAATCGGGCTGATGATCTTTAATCACCATTTCGGTTATTGAAAATCAATATTGACAACATCAGTAATGTAACGAAAATATGTTAAACAGTTATACCTATTGTTGTTTCTGCATTGTCTTTTCTTCAAGGCTGTAAAAAGAAGAAATCAAATCGAGCACAAAATCATTTGAAATCGATAGAGACAATAGGTTTATAACGATATTCACTTTTAATCATATCAATGCCATACTCAGTTGTGCATGGGGCGTTTTGTTTTATCCAAGTATTGATTTTTGTCTCACTAATATACTTACATCATGATCAGCTGCCTCGATTTTGTTCAGCATCTTAACAGATTTCTGTTTAATTCTTGTATGAAGTGATAGAGACTTCTTTTAACTTTCTTTTTGTCAAATAATTGAATGCCAGCGTATTCCATATCTTCAAATTATTGTTGCCTTGAAGGAAATAAGTGTCCGGTAATCTTCAACTTCGATGGATACTTGATCATAAACAATTCTCAAGCGCCTATTACTGAAAAGTTCATCTTTTAAAGGCTAAAATTAAGGCGCCAGTATACCGATGTTCAAACCACTTAATTATACCTATCAAGAACGTACGAAATAAGATGAAAAGTTTGAAACAACTTACAAATGTTGGACTGACAGAGAGTTGTTACATGATGATGTGGGTATGGATGAAACCATGATAGACGTAAAAGTGCGTTAAATTAAAATTACAATAACCTTTTCTGCGTTTGAGGCGACAAAGATCATACACGTACACCCTAGGTATTTTGTCAACAAATGATTATGCAAATACGTTCCGAAATACCATTGATGAGTCGTACAAGAATTTCATTTGTTTTTGTCATCAGCTAAAACCATTTGCATGATTGGAACATCAAACGTATCAAACAAAAAGAGCAGACTGCATGAAATTTAGCTTCGGAATTATATACGATATACACTGAATTACAGGCTCCTGACTTGGGACAGGCACATACATACAGAATGTGGCGGGGTTAAACATGTTAGCGGGATCCCAACCCTCCCCCTAACCTGGGACAGTGGTGTAACAGTACAACAGAAGAACGAACTATAAAAATCAGTTGAAAGAGGCTTAACTCATCAGATGGATAAAAATACAAAAACTACAAATACAAGTGGACGTGGCCGGGTACTTGTACATCCAAACAACAAAAAGACACTAAGTGCAGATCTGAGAGTACTTGCAGTTACTGACAGGTAGTTCAAAGCCACTAACAACTAATAAAAAAAGTCATGCATCTAAGACTAAATTATCAATCCGTACATATCCAAAATCCAATGGATTGAGTGTAAAGACGTCATAAATAGTCAGAGAAAAACATGACCTTTGCAATGCCAAGATACAGGTATCGACAGATTGTAGATCCATGAATGTGTATATGTATATAACAATAATATGTAGTTTGCTTGTAATTTACAGATAACAAAATCAATATTAGTACCAATATAAACAATATTTAATGATCTAATTACAGTGTTGAATTGGTAACCTTTTAGAATAAGTTTATTTAAGGATCGATAAGTTTACCAGGATCGTTTCTAAATTTCCGGGTACGGTAAACAATATTGCCGTAAAAATGAGGATGTGCAATCCCGTTTAAAATAAGTTTTGTACAGGTACAACCAAACTTCAAAACCAAATCTTTATATCTGTGGAAGAATTAAGTAAAGGTTTTAAGCAATTTGTGGTAACGAAATCCCTGGCTTAATAATTTACCAGTAATACATAGATTACGTTCGTTAAAATCAAAAACGTCACAACAGACACGGGCATAGCGAACGAGTTGTGAAATATAAACACCGTAGGATGGTGCCAAAGGAAAATCACCATCCAAAAAGGGAAAATTAACTATAGGGAACGAAAAATCGTCCCTTTTGTCGTAAATTTTAGTGTGGAGTTTCCCGTGTAAAACTGAAATATATAAATCTATGAAAGGACAGTTGTTACCGTTTAAATTGGATTTATTTAAAGTAAGTTCCTTTGGGTAAATTACGGCAGTATATTGAAAAAATTCTTGATTATTTAACGAAAAAATATCATCAAGATAACGGTAAGTGTTGTTGAATTTATCAATTAAATGCAATTTAGACGGGTCTTTACTGATACTTATATTACTTTACTTACATTGACGTCTGATGTTACCAGCGTATAATTAAAAATTAAACTTCTGCTGGGTTTTTTGTATGTGTATGAAATAATAGGTGGTTCTGTGTTATCAAAATAGGGAGGTATGACGTTTTGAACAGTAGCGTCATTAAATATACTAGATAAGTTGATAAAATCAATACCTCTGCTAATATATTTAATTTTTAGAAAATGACGTTTATGATCTTCAGGTTTGTCGATACGCAGGAACAGCCTATGATGGCAAAAAGCTGCAAATTTACCTGTTTCTTGTGTTGATGTGTACTTCAATACTTGATGTGCCTATTGAAAATTGAGATTCAGCCATAGTTTGACATGATTACCTTGTCGACGTAGCAGGTCTCTTCAGTCTAGATATAAGCTGTTTTCTCATACCCAAACTTGATACTTATCTTTCTTCACGCGAAACCAAAACAATATCAGTCCTACCTTTTAATCCACACCAACACATACAGATCACTATTAGCAGAGTTTCAAATAACAAAGCATATTCAGTTACCAAAATGCGAACCGTTTCTGTAATAAAACAATAGCAGTTATTTTCTCCTCTATTTCTTTACAATATTATAATATTTCCTGTTCAAGTATATGCCTGTACCAAGTCAGGAATATGACAGTTGATATCCATTCATTTGATGTGTTAAGCTTTTGATTTTGCCATTTGAATAGGGACTTTCCATTTTGAATTTTCCTCGGAGTTCAGTATTTTTGTGATTTTACCTTTTAGTTATTGTCAATGTGTTTATTATGATTATTATACCTTACATATATTTCAAACAATTCTATTGGGTAAAACGTTATCACGTGACATGGAATAATTCAGTTAATTTTCATTCAATTGCAAGGAAGAACGAATAACCCTAAAAATTTACAGCAGCGTTGAATAACCCTATTATTCACCGGCGAATAACCTTTTTATTTTGTTGATTTGTACTCATGAAAATGACGCCACAGACGTAAATAAACAAAATGGCAACGTTCAAGTTACAGGAAGCCCATTGATCGAGAGAAGCGGAAATAAAGCTTTTGACGTGCATCTTGTGCCGATGATATCTCTAATAACGGTCCTTTTCAGGGCCATCAATATTTTACAAAAAGAATCTACCTTTGTTGTACATAAGAGAATTCTAAAACACAAATAACATGTATTTTTGAACGTCAACTTGTGTTTGTTACTGACTCAAGTAAGGGTAAGTGCTTTTACAATGATTCAAAATGCCCTTCCACTGTCAGTGGCCCCTTAGAAGCGATGAATATCCAAAATTGTCAACCCTTAAAAGTTATTTCACTTCGGGCTGCGCACTCAGTGAAATAACCTTCTCGTGTTGACAATTTTGGACATTTACCTTTTCAACGGGCCATAATTGTATATTATTATCTTTTTAAGGTACTACAGCTACCGGCAAGGTTAAAAATTGATAATAATACTAAAATTTAGCGTTAATTGTGAAACGCGATTATTATAAACGCATACAAAAGAAGCGTTATATTTATTCTACTTGGTTCTGTTTACTTAGTGTAGTGTATTTGATTCAAAAATATGATTCATAGATACAAATTCCTAGCTTTGGGTCACGAAAAATCTTTCTTTGTGAAGAACCACACTGATTCCATCAATAGATACTCTGAAGATGATATCGACACAATGGTGAACATTTTGATCGACATCATGTTTGTTGAGTTTGGACAGTCGGTATATCGAGGGGTACTAATTGTGCACACCAAACAGCTGACTTTTGTACTCATATGAAACAGAATTTATACAGAACATCTTGTAAATTTATGTATTTCAATTACAGATATATTAAGGACGTCTTGTTTCCAAATTACCAAAATTGCAATGAGTGCTTGCATTTATATATCACGGTGAACTTGATATTAAAAAGATACTATAGACCCTAGAATGTATACCTTTAATCGTTGTCTTTCAAATAAGATGAAAGTTTACTTTGTTAACGCATGCAGTCTTGCTCTTTTTTGGGTGCATGCGATTTTCCCACTTTTTGTTTTTAACATCGGAAAAGTACGGTTGCCTTGATGCGGAGAGGACGACCGAGAAAGAATATAGAATTTTCAGTATGAATAACGTGTTTTCTGGCTGAAACTTCAACAATCAGCCCATTTATAGAAGTCAGGGGAAAATGAAGGTTCCGTTGACCTTATACTATACATGTACACAGTCATTCCCAGCGATGCAATTTTCGTTAAAATTGAGAGTGATCTTATAATAATCTGCACGATTTAAATAAATGTTGTTTTGACTAACAGTCGTCATTTTTCCAGTGCCTGCCATTCTTTCACAGAGACAAACAACAGTCTACAAAACAGTACATATAAAAAAGATATACTACGAAACACGTACCCTACCAAACCAGACATAATCTCATGTGCTCTAGAAGGATGAGAAGATCTTACTCTAAATGAGACACCCGTCATTTTGCTCTTAGTTATTAATAGTTTTACCTGTTTTAACTATAACTGTATCTGTTCTGCTACTTTCACCGGTGACAGTCTTGATATAAAGTCGTAAAAAATAAACTGTATCAGATTCTAGTCTATCAATTACAGCTGTAGATGTGTTTTCTGTTGCAACTTGACTCCATTCAGATTCAAAATATTTACAGTATTCGACGAAGACATTTGTTTCAATCCTGGTTTCAAAATCAGCTCTCCATTTGAGTATTATTTTTGTCTCCAGTGCAATGGCCGTTATATGTGCAGGAGCTTTATACTGTCCTAAATAGGTTATCGAAAGAGATGAAATAATGTTTACATTATTTGTACGGTATAAATAGGATTTGTGTGAAGTTAAATAACAGTATTTCCGTGAAATACTATATCCTCATTTTGGCATATAAATGATATGATATTCTACAGCCTACATTCTTAATTATTGGCGGCAAAAGTCTTACTATGACATTACTCAATTAATGGTACCCGTCGTAAACCCCATGTAGAAGCAAACGCCGTTATTGTTATAATTCGCTAGTTCATACTCGGGTTTAAGGGGACGGTATTGTAGGTTCAACATGTCCGTCGTCATCTGTAAAACCAATATTTCATAACAGTCAACCAACTCGTTATGGTTTCCGTAAAATTTACGAAGGAATGATATCAACTTCCCAACTCAGAACCCTTTGGTAGCTTTCTTGTGAGCAGCAACTCTCTATCAAGGGAATCTTTTTAGGAAGTACAAGCCCGTGAACATCATACCAAATGAGAGTTATAAAGTCCGTATGCATGTGCTGCTGGAATGTTGCTATATAAAATTTGAATTTTACAATTGGGAAGCTAAAATCATCTCATTTGTTTTCAACCGATCCTTTATTGTCAATATCTAGATGTAAGTCAAGATATGATGCAGACTTAACTGTATTTGTTGTATCCTTTATCTCAAGTTCGATCAGATAGAAACGTTCAACATAGTCACCAAATCTTTCAATATTTACTGAAAGAACACCTTTTGTTTATCGGAAAGTTAAGATAAAGGACACTGCTAAGTTTTTTTTTATATTCTTCCTAAGAGGTGCCAGTATTAAGACAATTCCATACATGTAATATCAATAAGGGAACAAATTGGCAAGAAGAGCAAATACGGATCCCATAGGAAGGTCGATTTTGATTTGCAAAACACATCCTCCAAACGTAACAAATACATTGTCTATTAAGGAAACAAACACCTTGGTAATGTCAGTTTTAGATATGGTATTGTTTGAACCAGAGTGGTTTTTGTTTTACAAATAATGATTTATCCCTCATTGAGACAAGATACTTGTATCTACGTTGGCAATTCTTTTTTATGAAACAAAGCAGGACCCACTTTTCTAATTTGTCTTTAGTTTTGGAATTGGGAATACTTGTGAAAAGTGTAGAAAAAAGGTAACAGCTCAATACTATTGGAATATGATATAGTCTTAGATTTTATACACTCTAAAAGATCTTTATCTATTGTTGAAATTTAAAAGAAACAAAGGACAGATCTATGATTATCCGGGATTTCCTCTTCGGTAAGTTTCGTGGGGGTCTATGTTGAGTTTCCGAGTAAATTTTTAATACCTTATTCATTTATCAAGCAGTTTGTGTAATTATGTAATGTGATTTACACACACACGCAATATTTTTGGGGCATTAATTGCGGTGACAACAACATATTTTTCATGGAGGGAGACCAGAGGTTTTGCACGCTTGGGTATTTATATACCAGTTTCAGATTTTTAATTCTGACTTGTATCAACGACTTCGTAGCCTTAATGCATTCGGAAACAGTATTAACATCTTCTTTCTCGCGTTTAACTTCGAATGTGTTTGTATAAATGGAAGCAGATCATTAGATAAAAAAAATACCGAACTCCAAGGAAAATTCAAATCGGAAAGTCTCTTATCAAATGGTAAAAAATCAAAAGCTCAAACACTTTAATCTAATGGAAAACAAATGTCATATTCTTGCTTGGAACAGGCATTTCCTTATCTTGAAAATGGTGGATTAAACCTGGTTTTATAGCTAGCTAAACTTCTCACTCAAAAAAGTTCATTACATTCACAATAATGTGTGAACAAAACGAACAGACATAATAGGTGAAAATGTCAAATAGGGGTACAGCAGTTAAAATTCTTAATCACTATAACACAAACAATATGTCAACAAGGAATAACAAAATAGCATTTAGACAATGCACATTAGCAAAAATGGAAGACCAGATTAGAGACATCATGCATAGTAGATGATGTATAATGACGATGACCATGACTGCGTCTTAGCTGAGGGGTGGAGTTGAAAATGTTCATCCAATTCACAGAGCTACAAGAAGGACTAGATAGAATACCGATACCATCCATTTTGTCATTGCAACCATATGGTGTCGGAGTTCCAAAGAATCTAGTAGCCCTTGTGTCTACGGAGAGGTGTTGGTAAGTGAGACTTGTTAGTTCTATAGTATATTTTTTGATGATGCAAACTTGCATAGAAAGGATTGAATGATCAGCTTGGTTGAAAGAAATTGTCAAGGCAGATTCAGTTACCTAATATTGATGTAAGATGAAACTGCACAATTTACTAACCAACGTATTAGATTTCTTTTGGTATATAAAGATGAAGTAGTTGAATTGAAAATAGAATGCGAAAAATCTGCTATCACAAATAGGAAAAGCACTTTAAAAGTAAGCAATTCAAACATCCATTCATCCAAATATGTTGATAGTCAGTATTGTAAGACAATGAAATAGTATATTTTGTTGTATATATTTCATTGGTGAGGATTTGTCTATCCAAAACTATTACTTAGAAAATGTTAGTCATAGACAATTGACAATTCAAAACAATCATGTCATTCTAAGAAATAACTGAAAATAGCTTGAAAAATAATTGTCTTTACTGTAAAATAAATGCAAATATAATCATATTTTTATCAACAGACTTATAGATTAATGAAACACAAAATTGAAGTCACAAGTTTACATCTGAGTTTGCATTGATACAATGACACTGTCTGTTTTATAGGTTCAAATCTTTTTTATGAAAAA